CTAGCAACTAGATTAATAAGATTAAGCTATATGAACTCTTGAGCATACATTTGTGTTTAGTAGTCTATGTCAACAAGTTTGCGAGTTAGTCAATGCTTATATGAGTCTATGTCTAGCAATCATATGAACACAAACACTAATGTGACAATTAAGCATAAACCATTATACAAAAAGGATGAATTACATGTTTTAGGCTATTGAACCATAATTTCTTCATTAATTCATTTCCAAAATCATACTTAGCAAATTGTCATTTACAAAATAAACATTAAGCACTACAAAGTAATTCATAGAAATCAATACTTCAAATTAAGTATAAATAAATTCCAAATTATTTCAAATTAATATTACAATCAATCCCAACAAACGAGTAACCTAGCTAAGCATTTTCATACAAAACTAAGATAAAGAACGATGTAGAAAACTATAATTCATGGAGCAGTGATACTTCTTCTATGAACTTATATGAACTTCATCGCTCATACTCCCTCATCTTTACATCTCATTACCAACACATACTATCTTATAGACTAAGGAAAAATAGAAAAAATCTTAAAATTGTGTGCTTGCGTTGGGCACAGGGGTGGTGTGTTGAGCGCGCACAATGTAACACCCCGAATTTTAGTCTTTAAAAATTAGAGTATCAGTCCTGGAAGTCTCGCTTGAGCGAGAGATTCTCGCCTGAGCGAGAAAGGATCACCTGGGAGGGTGAAATCCTGGGCTATACTGGAGGATTCTCGCTTGAGCGAGAGTTGTCTCGCCTCGGCGAGAAATGACAATTTTGGGCAGTGTAATCGATTACACAGTCCCAGTAATCGATTACATGCTGATAAAAGCATCAGATATTTGTATTTTGCATGATGTAATCGATTACACAGTCCTGGTAATCGATTACATGCTGATAAAAGCATCAGATATGTGTATTTTACATTATGTAATCGATTACACTACACTCGTAATCGATTACAACATATTAAAAGCATCAGATATGTACATCTGACACAATGTAATCGATTACACCATGTTGGTAATCGATTACATAGCGACGATGCCTTTGTAATTTACACTGTGTAATCGATTACAAACTGCTGGTAATCGATTACATCGTATTAATGTAATCGATTACACCATGTTGGTAATCGATTACATCGCGACGATGCCTCCGTAATTTACACAGTGTAATCGATTACACTATACTTGTAATCGATTACACTTATCGCTGTGTCTATAAAATAGAAACTCAAAACACATTTTAGGGTGAGAACTTCGAAGAGAAGAGAGAGAGGAGAGCTTTTCAAGAGCAAGGAGCCTTAGAACTCATCTTAGAGCTTGAGAAGAGAGATCCTAAGGTTGGAGGTGGTGTCGGTAGAACTCGAGAAGTTGCCAAGAACCGAACCCCAATACTCACCAAGGTAAGGATAAGTCTTTAATTTTGCATTTGAAATAGAAAATGTGTATGTTCTGGTTATGCAAAGACTAAGTTGTACATTACGCATTTAATATAAACATATATGAGTGTGTTTATATTAAAGAAGGCGTAGATTTACGGAAAAGGAAAATGTGTGTGTTTACGGGTTATGCCATAATTATATTGTAAATCCTGTGTTTAGCATAAACATATATGGGTGTGTTTATACTAAAGATGGCGTGGATTTACAGGGAATGATTGATGGTGAATTCGATGGAAAGAAAATATATTTTTAGCCGACCATGAATGGTTAGCGACTTTGGCTCAAGTTATGTAGCAATGTTTTGGCTCAAGCTATGTAGCAACACTTTGGCTCAAGTTATGAAGCAATATTTTGGCTCAAGTTATGTAGCAATGCTTTGGCTCAAGCTATGTAGCAACACTTTGGCTCAAGTTATGAAGCAATACTTTGGCTCAAGTTATGTAGCAATGCTTTGGCTCAAGCTATGTAGAAACACTTTGGCTCAAGCTATGTAGAAACACTTTGGCTCAAGTTATGAAGCAATACTTTGGCTCAAGTTATGTAGCAATGCTTTGGCTCAAGCTATGTAGCAACACTTTGGCTCAAGTTATGAAACAATACTTTGGCTCAAGTTATGTAGCAATGCTTTGGCTCAAGCTATGTAGCAACACTTTGGCTCAAGTTATGAAGCAATACTTTGGCTCAAGTTATGTAGCAATGCTTTGGCTCAAGCTATGTAGCAACACTTTGGCTCAAGTTATGAAGCAATACTTTGGCTCAAGTTATGTAGCAATGCTTTGGCTCAAGCTATGTAGCAACACTTTGGCTCAAGTTATGAAGCAATACTTTGGCTCAAGTTATGTAGCAATGCTTTGGCTCAAGCTATGTAGCAACACTTTGGCTCAAGTTATGAAGCAATACTTTGGCTCAAGTTATGTAGCAATGCTTTGGCTCAAGCTATGTAGCAACACTTTGGCTCAAGTTATGAAGCAATATTTTGGCTCAAGTTATGTAGCAATGCTTTGGCTCAAGCTATGTAGCAATACTTTGGCTCAAGTTATGTAGCAATGCTTTGGCTCAAGCTATGTAGCAATACTTCGGCTCAAGTTATGTAGCAAAACTTTGGCTCAAGTTATGTAGCATACTTTGGCTCAAGTTATGTAGCAACGCTTTGGCTCAAGCTATGTAGCAAAACTTTGGCTCAAGTAATGTAGCACAAAATGAATTTATAAAACAAATGGTTTACTAACCCCTTTTTCTAATGTGGATTATCTTATAATGACGTTTATTGAATTAACGACTTACTCCTTTGTGTGTTTTGTACTTTTATCATTGATAACCCCATTGCAGGTAAATAGATGAATGGAGTATGCTAGGTCGGGAGCTTTAGGAGCTTTAGACTTCGGATTCACTATTTATGTTTCGTATTCTAAATGACTACTTGTGGATTTAAATGTTTGTAACCATGGCTAACTATTAGTTGAATATTTGTAACCATGCGTAATGTTATTTTGGAGGATCAGAACCTTTGAGGTCTTAGTACTCATAGGGAATGATATGAATGAATTATGTTTTTCTGCAATATGAATTGGATGATAATATAATAGGTTAAAAGATTTGTTCAAGGAATGATTCATGAGGACTTCTAATTAAAATGATTATGTATGACATTATTGATTCATGGATTGAGTGTGATGAGAGAAATAAGATTTTGGAGTAAGGATATTAAATTGGTAATGTGAGTTATGAGTGATTGCATGGAATTGAATTAAAATGAGAAAAATTTTCAAGGGTAGAAAATCGGGTCGTTACACACAACCTCTTCGTCTAGTCCGACGGTTCACGTGGGAAAGCTGTTTTTAATGCGCCTTCCAACTCTGGGCGACTTGCGCTGAACGCCATTCTTATGCTAGGCGCAAATAAGCCGGTTGTGGTTTTGCTTGCTTTTTGCATTTGGCACTAATCCTCTTGTTTTACTATCTTAATGTTCTGATATGTAATGAAAACTTGATTCAAATGATTAGTTCAATAATTCATTAAATTTTCAATTATGAATGCATAAAGTTAGTATTTAGAATTAAAAGATGTTATTGTGAATTAAGGTAATTTTTACACCTAACCACTCTCTTCAACTTAGAACTTTGTTTGTCCCCAAACAAAAGTAAAAGTAAAAGCCAAAATCATGCAATTGATTTTAGAAAATTTAGAGTTCTCTCAAAAGGTAGCTCTATCAAGGTGATATCACTTTTCATCTCATATAGGGATGACAACGGGGTCGGGCGGGCACGGGTAGTGCATACCTGTGTCCATACACGCACTATTTACAGGTACCCAACGAGTTTTCAATTTTAATTATATTTTTATACATATTACAATAATTAATATATAGGAATAATTATTACTTGAGTAATATGATATGTATATGATAATTTTATGATTATGGTCTCATCACCAAATTTTATTATGAAATAATAATAAAATAGACAAATGTAATGTTAAAATAATAATAATTACGTATAAAATATTTAATTAAAATATATACGTAGTACCTGCGAGGTGAGTATCATGATATCTATTCCCACCCGTGAGCAATTTTTGCTGGTACCCATTGTGAATATTTTGACGGGTACCCACGAGTCGGATGTTTTTGTCGTCCCTGCCGCGACCCGATTTTCGGTTGGAAGACCAGCCCTGCAACTTAGAGAGAGGCGAGCTCGATTTCTACTTCTTCCAATTGATTTGGAGTCGCCACTACATTTTTGCGGATAAAACGTAGAAAACTCTCTAATAAGCCCAATTAGGATAATTTGGTCTTTAAGTAGAAATTCTGAGCTCGGGAGTCGATTACGGATCGGGGAAGGTATTAGCACCCCGTCCAGCCGTATTAAAACGGTACCCTTGCTAATAACATGGACTTTTATACCCTTAAAATTTATTTATTAAAATTCACTAACAAAAGCAAAATGTTTATTTTTTATTGTTGTGTCTGACAAGAGTTCATCTTGCTCCTACGTATCCCTAGGTGCAATAGGGAAATCAAGGCCACGTAGTTCTTGTTCGAAAATTAATTGGTGTTGGTTTAGTTGGTTTGAAATGTTGATATAAATTTTATTCACTTTGAGAAAAGATGAAGCATCAAGAACTAATGTCCGCACTGCATCAAGTCTTAAAGATATTTTGAAATAGTTAAAATACATCGTTGAAATTTATTCACCTTTAAGATAGATGAATCAGCAGGAACTAATGTCTGCACCACATCAAATCTTAAAGATATTTTGAAATATTTAAAATAGTTGAAATTTATTAAATCTTTAAGATAGATGAAACAACAAGAACTAATGTCTGTACCATATCAAATCTTAAAGAATATTTTGAAATAATTGAAAATTGTTGGAAATTATATAACAAAGGTTGATCTAATTCAAATAGATTATTTAATCATTGATTAATTAGTTAACAACATAGGAAGACTATTAATAAAAATTTATCTTAACACAAACACTAATATCAATCAATTAAAATATGTATCAAAATGAAAGGAGGGAAAGGGGGTCACCCTTCTTTTATCATTTGAGCCATGGGACCCAAAAATCTCAAAGTTCCCTTTTCTGCCGTAAGGATGTGCTTTTTTCTTCTCCATTCTACTTCTTAATGATTCAAAGGGAATCGAATCCCTAAATTATCTCCTTCATCCTCTTCTTTTCCAGCAGCGGCGGCAACAAAAGGGACGACGGCAAGTTACTGGTAATCTGGCGGCTAGACCTCTTCTCCTCTATCTCGTTTCTCCTTAGCGACAGTGGTGTTCTCTCCGGTGACGGTTTTGGTGGTATAGTATGGACTTCACATACTCTCCCACATAACCAGACAGAATGAGTGTAGTATGGTTTGGGATGTCTTCTTTTTGGCTATGAATATGAGATTTGAAAGGATTGGAGATGAGAGGATATTGCTCTTGTTAAGAAAGACTCATGGAATTTTCTGAACTCATCCTCCATTCTGTATGAACGTGTCCTCTTTTATAGCTAAGCATGTGTTTGTGAAAGTCTCTTCATTTAACAGCCATAATTCATTGCTAACATCCCCATAGCTGCTTCTTTTGAACTCCTTTCTTGTGCTCTGATCATTATGATGCTTGTTATTTTTAATTGCTCTAATTATTTTATTACTGATTACTCCACTTAATATACCCATCATTGTTGCCTTGTATATGTAAATTAATTCTGGACTGCTTGAACTTGGCAGGGTGGAGATACCAAAATTGTGGCTTATAAAGAGCCATGCTCTTAGTAATTTGGGAGTGTTGTTGAAGCATGGATTGTGACTGTTTGAACACTAGTAAGCTGTTGATTATGCTGAATGCTAGATAGAGATATTTGCATCATGAAAGGTTGCATGACAGGTTGCTTAAGTTGATGTTGCAATGCCACGTCTCTGGGAGATGGGATGAGTTGTGATGAAGATTGTCTTTGAAGTGGTGGTGGTGGTAAAGGAAGCAGCGAGTTGTATATGTAATTTTGAGTTATGTTTTGTGTAGCTATTTAATCTTGCATGATCAGTCATTGTCCTTTTGATGATATTAATTATTGTTATGGGTGCAATTTGTTAACCCATAAGCTTCAATGTATGTTACAAACCATATGATTGAGTACCCCTACTGTCATGTAAACATTGGTGTATATCCAAGTTAGCCTTCTTGCAAGTTTATTTTTTTGAAAATTGGGTTCCTCCCATTAATCTCATTCTCCTCTTTTTATAAATTTTCTTGAATATAGGCTGGACAAAATTGGGTGTTCACAGTCTCTGATCTCATTACACTACTTAGAGCATAAAACCAAAATGATAGTTTCTAAAAAACATAGGATACTCTAGACTACTTCACACAAGGAACAAATTGTCATAGTGAAGTGTTTTGATCATCCAATCTATTACTTAATCAACTAAGAAAGGCAACATTGTATCAACTCATATCAAAGTTAAAAGTATTTACCTATTGCATAACAAGCATGAAATCAAATTTGACATTTGTTTCATATAATTAAATAGTAAAAGTTGAGACATTGATTATTAAGTTCTTTTTGTGGTTGAGTTACAAACAACATAGTTTTTCCAAATATAAAAAAAATTCTAATGTGGTAAGAGAGCAAATTCTAACTTATGTATCATTTCTACTTATACTACAAGTCACTTTTCTTTTCTTTTGTTTTCTTTCATTACTCCACGATTCATCTTTTTGCCTTACTCTTTTTAGAGTTTTTCTTTTTAATTTTTTCATAAGATGAATAATGGCTCATACCACTTCTTTTTCAACTTTTTCCATACATCATTTACCCTCTTCTCAACTAGCAATGGATAATAATAAACATAATCACAACTACAATTTTAAAATAGGGGCAAAGTTTAAACAACTATTGAGAGAAAGGGAGATAGCTCTTAACAACATGATATAGGAAAGAGAAAGTAGAAGATACAATGATAAAAAGAAAAAGATGAAAGCGATTTGATTGGAAACTCATATTTTGTGGAGAGGAACAACATTGTTATGACAAGAGGACAAAACTAATTTTTTGTTGAAATAATTGAAAAAACAAAATAAATCGTTTAAACTTAAAAGTAAATAACCAAATTAACCTTCCTAAATATATAAAAAAAAGTGTATTTATTAAGCTGAAATCTATTATCACTCGCTTGATTTTACTTCTTTAATCTCTTGCCTTAATTATTTCACTCACTCTCTCTTTGTATTCAACATTCCTTCTTTTGGTCGCCGGAACTAATCTCCGACCGATCAACTTTCCGGCATTCAGGCAATCCCACTCTGATCCACAGCTTCTTCAATAACACGTTCCGTTTCTCTTCTCTTCATCTTCTAATTTCCACGTTTCGCTTTCAGATCCGTTAAATAACAAACCCTTCATGGATTAGCACCACCCCTTTGAATAATTAATTTCCCACATGCTTGAACCAAACGTGCAAGGTGAATCCACAAATTTCTCGCCCTAGGGTTAGGGTTCGTGTTCATTAAAAAAAATGTTCAAAAAGATCATGAAGGGAGGAGGAGGGCATAAGAAGCCCTCCAAGTCTGACGATCCATCGGCCGTCGCCCGCAATTCACAGGCGGCGGCCAATGTGATCGTCAATCATGCTTCCCGAGGCGGGGGAGGTGGAGGAGGCAATGGAGCATCAGGGACTAATTTAATAGCCCCTGCTGCTGCTCCAATGCCAATCCTTCCCCCGTCTGGGCCTATGGAACCGCTGCCTATGTTCCGGGATGTCCCGGTTTCGGAAAAACAGAATCTTTTTATTCGAAAACTGCATGTCTGTTGTTACATACTTGATTTTTTGGATACTATGAAGAATGTTAGGGAGAAAGAGATCAAGAGACAGGCGTTGATGGACCTTGTGGACTTTATTCGATCCGGTTCGGGGAAGATAACGGAGAATTGCCAAGAGGAAATGATTAGAATGATATCTGTTAACATTTTCCGATGCTTACCGCCTGCGTCGCATGAGAATACTGGGCAGGAAATCACTGATCCTGAAGAGGAGGAGCCTTGTTTGGAACCATCATGGCCACATTTGCAGCTTGTTTATGAATTGCTCCTGAGATATGTGGTTTCATCGGATACTGATACCAAGGTTGCGAAACGGTACATTGATCACTCATTTGTGCTTAAATTGCTTGATTTGTTTGATTCTGAGGACCCTAGAGAACGTGAGTATTTGAAAACCATATTGCATCGTATATATGGGAAATTCATGGTTCATAGACCCTTCATTAGGAAGGCGATTAATAACATATTTTATCGGTTTATTTATGAGACTGAGAGGCATTGTGGTATTGGGGAGCTTCTTGAGATTCTTGGTAGTATCATTAATGGGTTTGCTTTGCCAATGAAGGAGGAGCATAAGTTGTTCCTTATGAGGGCGCTTCTGCCTCTGCATAAACCGAAATCTGTTGGTGTTTACCATCAGCAGTTGTCTTACTGTATTACTCAGTTTGTGGAGAAGGATTTCAAGCTTGCGGATACGGTTATTAGGGGCTTGTTGAAGTACTGGCCTGTCACCAATTGCCAGAAGGAAGTTCTGTTCCTTGGAGAACTCGAAGAAATTCTGGAGGCCACACAGGCTGCAGAGTTTCAACGCTGCACGGTTCCCCTTTTTAAACAGATTTCTCGCTGCCTCAATAGTTATCACTTTCAGGTTTGTTGAAAATGCACTTATTTATATTTATAGTGGTGTTGGTTGCGATTACTTTTTTAATTTGCATGTTGCTTGTTGTGACCTGCTATCTTCTATGTTAATATACATTGTGAATCTAATAGAGGTTTGATATTTTAATTGCCAATTCTGGCCTTCTTATTTTGATTCAATTGTTTTTTGATAGAGTAGTTTAAGTTTAATTCATAAACTTTAATTTTTATATTCTTTTTCAGTTTCCCCTTTTATAGCCCTAAACTATATCGTTATTGAATCAAAAAAAATTCGCGTGGTTGTAGTTTTTAGTTAGTTTTATGCCATGTATTTGTTAGTTTGATGTGCTGTTCGATAGGAAAAATAGAAAAACTTTTTTATATTCTGTAAGTGTCTAATAATGTAGAAAAGTCCATTTGGTCTATCTGACTTCATTGGCTTCTGGCTTTTACACTTGGAAACGTAGTCAGGCTCATGCTCATGGTTTTTGCACGTACATGGAATTTGTGTTCATTCCTGTTCATCTTCTGCTTTAAGACTGAGTACTGAAGTGGCAAAGTTGACCACAATTAAAATTCAACTGGTCACTTTTACTTTCATTATAATGTTGCAATAGTAAGGTTGCCTCTTAGGCTCTTAGTAACCAAGTGGTCACGTTTTCAAATCCGGGAAACAGATTCTCCGCTTGCAAAGGGTAAGGTTGTGTGCATCTATCCTCACTAGACCCCACAAAGTGGGAGTTTCGTGCACTGGGTCACCCTTTATTATGTTATGAATTTGTAGGTGTGAAGTGTATCTTTTAAATAGTAAAAAGCCCACCCATAGAATATAAGTTTGTATGGGTAATGTTTTATGTTTGGGATTTTTCTATTTAATAAGTAATAAGTTTGTCATTTGCCTCATGTAGTACTTAAGAAAAGTCTAAGTAGTTTTGTTTTCTTAGTATTACCTTTTTTTATGCGGTAAGTTGCATGTGTTGATATCTTCAGAATTCCAATAAAGTTGGAATGGAACTGAGATTTCAGCAACACTGAATATAGTTTTTAGTGACGTGCTGTTTGATAGGAGAAAGAGAAAACAAAAACTTTTATATTATATTATGTTGGTATTTATAAATGACAGAAGATTGTGTACTTTATATCTGACTAAATTGGTTTCTGCCCCTTCGCATGTGGAAATGCAAACGTAGACAGATGCATGAATATGGTTTATGCACGTACTTAAATTTTCAACTTATTTTTTTCCTCACCTTCAAAACTGAGTATGCAGTGGCAATTGTTAAGAATTTGTAAGTGTGATTTATATCTTGTAAATAGTACAAGTCCCTAGCATAAAATAAAGATTATTATTATGTTTGATAAGAGAAAATTTTATTAAATAAAGATCCAGCATAAGGCATACTACATCAATAGAAAGAGTACCAATAAATCCAGGATCAGACCGAAATATAGCAAGATAACAACATCAAGTCAGTCCCACCCACATTCATTGCATACACAATACGGAGAAACAAATCCCATAATTATACAACATTTAATAGAAAGAGAAGTTGCAGATCACTATCAAGTCTTAGTTACAATAATCCAGCAAACATTGTTTTGGGTCTACCCCCCACTAATAAAAGACATTACCATGTGATTTCATTTCTTCTTTGTTCACATCCATGATCTTATCTTGATTTTTTCAACTACACCATTACCAAAATAAAGATTATATTGGTCATGGCTTAAGTTAGTGAATATAATATTAATAACCATAATAGGGAAGCTTCTGACATGCATTAAGTTATGTATTATTTATGAAATCTCAGTTATATTTTTGCTTCTATCTTATTGCTTTTATTTTTTAATTTTAAATTGTGGGTATGTGTATGCCAGTAAAGTTAGAACTAACTGAAATTTCAGCAGTACGCGGTGTGTTTTTATGGTTAACTGTGCTCTGTTCCCCTGATTTTTTTGGTCAAATGCAACTCCCTTGTTGACTATAGAAACTGCACATTCCCTTCTGATTTAACACAACTAATTGCAATATGCCACCTAATGTCCAAAATCCAAATCCAGAGAAGTTTCATGATATGGAGACACATAACCTGTGTG